CACCAGAGTGCAGTCCGGCCGGCGGACTTTGCGACCAGCATTCTTGAGACCCTCAAAGGCCTGGGGAGATGTGACTTCGTGGACAAGGTGTCTGTCAATGTAGATCAGGAGAGTACCATCTTCCTGCTCGTTGACAATGTGGTGGTCCAGGACCTTGTCATACAAGGTCTTGGGTTTCCTATCAGCGCCGGGCATGAGGGGCAATGTGTATGTAGGAGATCAACGGAAATATAGAATGTGGGGGATGAGAGTGTATTTTGGGGAGAAATGAGGAGAAGGGATAAAGCCCAAACACGGGGAAAGGCAGTGAAAGATAGATAGGAAATATGAACAGCTGGACTGGGAGAAGCGAAGATGGTTTTAACTGGGGAAGACCCGCGATGTCGCAGCGCGGCTTGTCGAGGGGCAGCGCCGGTGTCGGTGGTCAGCACCCAATTGCTGGGTGGCGATTGGCTACGGCCGAAAATTCTGGGGACCGACACCGGCCGGAGTGGCGCTTAGACGCGGCAAATGACGCCGCCCTGACTAACCGGTCTGGATTGATTGGATTTGAAAGAGTATGAGTTGCATGTGCCGATTAACACTAGAAGCGCCTAGTTCATCTTGAACTGCAACAACTGTCTATCTTTTCTGGATGTGTCATGGTCACCAGCACTGTACGAATTGCACGCATGCCGTCTGGCCGCATCCACTACTTGCTTCTTGTTCATGTCGGTCAGGATCACGAATAATCATACATCGGCACATCATTGACCGCCAATCTCCGGATAAATCCCGGAGTCCTTTGGAGTTCCGGTCCGATAATCTGTTTTGTCGGGAAAGAGGGATGATTAGCCCACTTGGAATGCTTAGCTTGCCCGGTTTGTACTGGAGAGAATGGCGCTAGTTTGTGATGTTGCCTAATTTGATCGACAAGACCACAGGTCATCACCTCTTTTGGCTGATTCCCTGGCGCTATAGTAGTAGCTGAGCAGCGCTATGTCTCGCACGCCTTCCTTTTTCCACATGTCAATACTTCGTAGTCCATGAGAGCCGCTTTTGATAAGCCCAACTAGTGGTTCCCACAAGGTATGTTCCTCAAAAGATGCGAATCAGCCGATCACTTTTCACAGCTCTCGCCTGAGTCATACTGCTGGTAGAGCTATCCGTTATCGGAGTATGGTGCAGCCAGCTTCGAGGGCGAGAGTATGAGTCAAAGTCGAAGCTTCTGGGCTTGTAGATCGAATACAGGTTATGGTTCACACGCTTCGTGTAGTATTGTTAAACGAGTTTCGATTTTGGTGCTAATTGGATGCTCCCGATAATACATTCTTTGTTAGACGATGATGCGGGCCGTTTGCTCTCATTTGAAAGTTGCAGTACTCTGCTGGTGGCACTATAGTAGAAAAACAACATGATATGCCATGCTGTCGAACAGAGTTCAATGCATGATTTACCGATTGGCAGAGGTTTTCGTCGATGTGTCGATCCTCCTCTAGAACGTTTCTGAATTCTTGGTGTTCCGTATCTCATCTTGGGCAACAATACTTCTGGGATCTTCCGTTCTGAGTGACCCTATAAACCAGCCAGTCAGTATCAGCTCGATGCTAATGGGGTATCTTTTGTATACACATAACTCTCCCGTCTCCGGAGTAGGACATGGGACAATTCACAGCTCAAAAGAAAGCACTCTTCCTTGCAGGCGAGATATTGGTTTTGACAAGATCGCATGTGGCAGCTCTGGAGACACCTCTCATCTTCCGTCAGCTAGAAACATATGCATATCCGTTGGCTTTTCGTAAAGAGCTGTCAATTGAGACTAAACTCAAAGATGGTGAAAGAGCCGATGGAGAATGACTTGATTGGATGGCACAGGACAGGCGAAATCACCAAGCGAGTATACATGCATAGTAGCCTTCTAGGTGAATAGCAATGTTGATCAGCGCTTTCGCTAACTCGATGGAGTACGGAGGCGATATACAATGGCAGTAGTAGAATAGGTCTTTATACTCCACTCGTCACATTTAGTGAGGTGTTCGGGGTATTTAGCGGACTAGATCCCCTTATCTACAGTTGAGGGTCTCCGCCGTTCGTGGATATTCTTCCGCTCGTATTCATCCTGCAATTACTAGTACTAAGGCATTGAAGCAGGGCAGCGTATGAGCACGAGGAAAGAAAATGGAGGCGTTAGTTAAAACGTCTAGAGACTGGCCAGGTCTGGATATGAGAGAGTATATTTTGGACACGTTGAGCGCACCGTATGCTTTCATTGAGCCTCAGAAGGCCATGAATACAGGATAATCAGTCTTCTTATGGCTACAAGAACACCCTGAGAACCTAGCCTTCTTTAGCGAGAGATAGACACATAACATGGTTTTTTATTGCTCCATTGACTTTCATTTTTGTATAGTAATCTTGCCAATTGGAGAGTGATCCTTGAGCAGAACAAGGAGCTGTTTTGTGGTTCCCCCAATGGATATTTGCCGTTGCTGTTGGTGTAAGGGGCTGGATGTCAGCGTAGTAAGTGGTGGTTAGCAGTTAGCACAGTGTATGGCTTGGGTGTCTATAGAATGAAATGCTAGTGGGTGTGTTGGTGGAGGATGATGTGGGGTGTGGAGGAGATGTGGGGCTACTAAACGATACCCATGGAGCCGTCCTCTCTGTCCATGTTCTTCAGCTCTATAGTAGTCTCTTTCGTAGGGAATGCTCCATACGTCGATGGCGCATTCGAATTCAGGATCCTTCAAAGGCAGTGTCTAGCTCCAAGCTAGCTATGAATAGCACCTGAAGGAGCTAGTTTGGGGGTTCTTCATGGCATTGTCGATTGAGCATAATACAGTTCTTCGTTCATTCTACATAGTGACTGGTTGTTTGCCCAGTCTGTGTGGTGCTAAAAAACAGTTCTTGAAGGTACTTGCATTCTGAATTGAACATCTCCTCGATTACAATTAACACTCTATACTATACCACACTCCCATTACTATACGGAACTCCCGAAGGCCAGATTATCTTCTCGGAACACTAGCAGTGCGAGGCGGTGCCTCACAAACAGACCTGCAAGGCCGCAAAATGTCTGTACAGCCACCATACTCCACGCCAGTTGGTTCTCCTTCATCGGCCCAGCCCATACGAGCCACAGATTGAGGATGGTGAGGTTTGTCGACTCGACAATCTGGCCCTGTTCGTTCTTGGTGACGCGCACCAGCCGTAATGTGTGCAGCAGGTTTAGGGCAGTAGCCACCAGTGGCGATGGCGGGACAGTCCATTCGGTCACCGATGCATCCAACAACCCAGTGACGGAATTGAACTTGGGCAACCGATGGCGCGGGCAAGGAATCAAATTAAAGAGTTGTGGCGTTGAATATAGGAAGTTGAAGATCTGTGGGATGAAGAGAAGCAGGAGCGTCTTGCTGAAGTGACCCAAGATGCCAACGACGGCAAACACCATACCCGCAAAGTAGCAATAGGTATCTCCCACAAAAACTTTTGATGGGTACCAGTTATGGCACAAGAGGGCCGCGGACACTCCAACAAAAGGCAACAAGAAGTATAGAGAGAACAGATGGGAGTCCGTTGCTGGATGCGGGTATGGTGTAATGGGTGCAAGATATAGGACATCGTTTGCTATCAGCAGAACCGCTATCACCAGAGACTGGGCCACTTCAACTCCGTTAATTCCGGCCAGCATGTTGATAGAGTTGGGGCAGAAGATGGCCACGGCCGCCATGTAGGCATAGTACAACCAGCCGAGGTCGATAGTGGAGCCCAGATAGGGCTGCAGCGGCACTGGCACGACGACTTGCGTAACCCCAAAGTCCACAAAGTATACTATAAGCATCGGAATAGCGCCAAAGGCGGGAATGAGGACCTTGTGTCTCCATCGGATATCAAGTAGGTCGTCGCCAATTCCGAGAATGACGATACATTGCAATGAAAGAAGACCGGAAAGATAGGATGCAAGCTGTGTAATTTCGCTGTCAGTAAGCTAGCGCAGATTAGAGCATCCGAAATGACAGACCTTTCCATGCGGAAACCGGTGTAGCATCCGGCCAGTCTCAACATGTTCTACCTCGATTACGACATCTCGGTTGCCTCCACCTGAGGTGGCAGCCACTATATCCTTGTAAAAGGCAAAGGGGATGAAGAATATTAGAGCAAGGAGATAGACAATAGCACAAACGGCTCCCATTGTTTCCGGTCTAATTACAATCCCATTAGCATTGTCATAACGCCAAGTACGCAATGATAAGCTATCATACAAGAAAATGAAGAAACATGGGTTATCCATACATTTCGGGTCTTCTGGGTTTCGCCATATCTCGCCCTTTCAGGCCCGCCTTCAAGAACACTGGTACGAGCCATCGAATCATACTAAATGCGACTGCGAAAGCGATACCGCTAAACGCGAGCGAAGCTACCAAGGGCGCGCCATCGCCTTGGAAAGTATTCAGAAGGATGCCGACGCAGGCTCCCACCAAGGCGAAGAGCCGCCAGGTCTCCTGGCGAGAAAGAGAGCTTGTATTTGCTGCTGCCATCGCGCAAATGGTTTGATGTGAGCCTATCTCCAAGGCCTCATGCTAAGTAGAATTTCACTTCCATAAGGACGCGTAATCTCTCTGGCGCTGGAGAAAGGCAAGGTGGCATCAAGAAGCAAGTGGAGAAATTGGGGAAGGAGCTCTATTCTGCCGGTACATCGTTGACCGCCTTTTCATTTATAGGCGGTGAATACCAGCTCCGACCGGCATCGGGCGTGGCTGCCTTACCTAAGCTGCCTGAAGCTATCGCATCCCGGCGCTTTCATATGCACGCCTTGCTTGATTTCTATAGGCGATTGCAAGGTCGGATCTACATAGATCAGGGGAAGGCTTCACCCCCCCCCCTCTAAGGTTTCTGCAGTTGATCTTTGACGCGTCTCTGAATGTTTGCTTCCTGAAGGTGGTGGCTAAACGCTGGTTGCTGTGCATTCTGATTGATTGATTTGATCGTCTCGTGTCTGATTGGGGATACCGCACACGCCCATCATGGCTGGATTCGCCGACTTCGACGCCGGTCATAGAGACCTGGTTTCGGTCACCAAATTCAACTTTTATGGCAATCGCATCGTCACAGCTTCAACTGATCACCGCATGAAGGTCTGGGACCAGAAAGACGGTGAATGGCAGCTCGTAGATACTTGGCGTGCTCATGATGCGGAGATCCGTGATGTAAGCACTCCCACGGCAGTGGCCCCCTGGTTCCTTGGTATCTGGTCTGGTATTGTTGTGTTTTAACTGTTACTCAGGCGACCTGGAATGGCCCTTTCACGGGCCAGCACATTGGCAGCGTGGGTGAAGACATGAAATGCAAGATATGGCAGGAGGATGTTACGCAACCCCCCAATTCAGGCCGGCGTTTCAGGTCTATCTTTCGCATGACCGCCCCTCAGCGCCACCCATTTGTATCAATCGATTTTCGCAACATTGATCTGGAATCCTGGATGGCCGTTATTACTCGCGATGGCTACCTGATGATCATGGAGCCTGTAAGCCCCGATACTCTTGCGGATTGGCAGCCGTTAGATCAATTTAGAGTCTGCACTGCTCCCCAGCGAGGAGAAGAGACAAGCTTCAAAGTGCAGTTTCACCATGATCCTTCGGACATTACGCATTCTGTATTGCCCTCTTCAGATCGCAAAAGTCTGTCGCTGGTGGTGGCCGCCATGGACAGCGTAAAGATCTATCGCACTGATGCAAGTCGACGCTTTTACCACGCCATCGAATTGACGGGACATGGCGGTCTTGTGAGGGATATCTCTTGGGCCAATGGGTCAGTGAGAGGATATGACCTCATTGCTAGTGGCTGCAAGGATGGCTTCATCCGAGTGTTTGAGGTATATACAACGGCCTCTGGCTCCGGGTCACAGACTTCCAATGGCAACCACGCACATTCTTCATCGCAGTCATCATCAATTCGTGCGACTACCCAGTCAGGTATTGGCTCTGCCCTTGCAAGCCGTGCCCCTGTATCGATGTCCAGTCGTGCTGCACCCGCAGATTCTCAGTTCAAGCATTCATTCAAGGAAATTGCATGCATTGACAGCAAACATTTAGACGTGTGGCAAGTTGGCTTTTCATACGCTGGTTAGTGGCAGACCCCCTTCACAATGGAACGTCGAGACTGCCCTCAGTGCAAGTGCTAATTAGTCTCTACACAGGTGACTGCCTCATTTCCTCAGGCGATGATGGTATTGTACGATTCTGGAAGAAGTCCCTCTCTGGAGAATGGCTCGAGTACGCTGAAACCGATATGGCTTGTCAATAGAGACGAGGTGACTTTGCTGCTGCATCGCTGGAACTCTCAGTTGCAACCTATCCTTAGCTTCTTCCCACTGTGTCTACGCACTGCAGGAGCCATACACCCTGACTCTTTCCCAATACGTGACGGGGTTTCCTTTGGTGCTCTTTTGGGTGTTCTTATTTGTCTCTTTCTGTTCGGACTGGCGTTTGTTGCGGTCTAGCTATGGGAAGATTAGATCTCGGCTTGTTCATCTTGCAGTCATTCTTGCTCTGTTTGGCATACAATGATACCCATGGATTTCTGGCCTATCTATCGTATAGCGTCGCAGCGCCTATCTGGTGTAAGATGACTCCTTGCTGCAACGGAGCTTCCCCAGTCAATCCCCAGTCAACCTTCCCATTTCTTGTGGTTTGTCGGAAGAGGAAGGAGGTACCCTTTCCTCCAATCCGGCAACCACGCCTGCAGCCTCGTCTTCTCAGAAGAAACACCAGGACATCCGTAGGCCTCTTCGACATCCTCTATTTGTCCTCCGCTATCCCTAACCACGTACTATGGCTCTTATTCCCACCTTTGGAACCGGCCTCTTCATTGGGGCCGGCCAAGCTCTGGCTGCCGGTGGTCCAGCATCATTACTTGGTTCATATGTACTGGTATTCTTGTTATCTTACTGCTTGACAACAGCCATTGCAGAGATTGCGGCCCACCGACCTGCGCTCAACGGTACCATGGTGGCTCACAGCTATGAATATGGCTCCAACCATCTAGGTTTTTCTCTAGGCTACCTCAGGTGGTACTCCTTGGCAATGATGGTCCCCTTCGAGATCACCACTGCCATGGTCAATCTCAGTTTGTGGACGCCTGAGCCCAGCATGGCGATCCGAATTGCAATGGTCGCAGTCCTGATCCTCCTATTCAATATGCTCCCCCAGCGAGCTTTCCAACGGACAGAGACTGTTTTCACCGGATTAAAGATCATCACTACTGCGGGGCTGACAATTTGCTCGCTATTCCTAGCAATCCGAGGTATCCCAGGGACACCGATACGAGGATTTCGTTACTGGCACGAACCTGGCCCGATGAACGAGTATCTCATTCCCGGCGGTGGAGGGCGTTTCCTTGGCTTCCTACAATGCTTTCTATACAGCGTGATTTCTTTCACCCTGACACCAGAAATTACTGTTCAGAGAGCTGAGCGTTCCAACACGGAAGGAGGTCCTAGCATCCTGAGCATGGCCCGAACGGACAGTGGCTATCTCTTTGCCCTCTACATTCTCAGCGCGTTCATGATGACCTTCGTTAGTCCATTTGATGAGCCTCGATTGACCAACTATGGCACGGGCGCTGGCTCATCGCCCTTCGTCGTGGGCTATGTACGCGCGGGCATCCCCGCGTTACGGATACTGGTGACCGTGTTGATATTCCTTTCATCGGTCGCCTCTGGACGCTCTTTCCTCTACATATCTTCTCGCACACTCTACACCTTGGCCGAATCTGGACATGCTCCAGCAATGCTTACTCGATGCAACCGGTATCAAGTGCCCTATGTGGCCATACTGACATCTGCGCTGTTCTCATTGTTTGCTTTCCTGTCGCTGGCAGAGTCCAGCTCGGCCCTTTTCAATTCTCTCATGTACTTTATCACTACGTCGGGCTCCATCTCATGGCTTTGCTCGAGTATCATTTACCTTCGGTTCCGGAGGAAGACCGAGGAACAGGGCTTTATTCGAGTCCACCAGTCCCGCATCCAGCCCTATGGAGTATATGTTGGGATCCTAGGCTGCACTTTGCTGCCCATTGCCAATGCTCTTGTTCTTGCGTTCCCCCCGCCATCGTCCGAGGAGCTCCCGGTCCAGTCCTGGTTACAATTGAGAATGAGAAACGCTATTCCTGTGTACCTTGGGATCTTGTCGTTCCTCTCACTCTATTTCGGCCACCAAGCGAGAACTTCCATTTTACAACGGAAGCTCAAGTCGGAGGATGGGACGACCAGTCGTCGAAGCTGGTGGAGAATGTTTGGGCCGGAGCGCGATGGACCGTCAACCAGTGCCCCGGTCTCGAGTCCCCCGGGACCTTGAGAGAGACTACTCTTGAACCTACCTCGTACTTTCATTTCTCGCCTGAAGCAAATGTCCTGGTCGGCTGTCGTGATTCCGTTTCCTTCGCAACTTTATTTGTATTGATAGTGCACGGAGAGCCAGCCGCTTCTGCCATTATTGTTCGTACAGTCCTGAGATCCTTATTCCTTAATCAATGATGCTTGTTTTTTTATCTTATTCCTCAATCATTCAGTACCGCGGTGGACAATGACGCCATCTCAAGCCTTCTCCTTGATGGCCAACCATAGGAGGTTGGAGTAGTCGCTGGTAATGGCATATAGTAGTAGGCAGAAATGAAGGCGTGAATTAGTAGCAAATGGGAAAAAATGTAGGTTGCAACTACAGGCACCAAAGTCTAGCGAGTACCATCCCTGGGTGCTATCATAGGACTTTAACAGGCGTAAGGATTGTCTGTTTCGTTTTATAACAAAGACAGATCGATACATGGAAAAGGGAAGGAGAAAAAGACTTACTACTATGTCCTTACTATACATCCATACAGTTAGGCCCTGTTCGGGGGGCGGTTCGCCACGCACGGGAACCGGCGTGTCAGCCCCTAACGTAATTTTCACGCACTAGTACTTGCAGTAGTAGCGCCCAAGTAATACTGCGTCTACTAGAGGAGATCATATCAGAGGGAGTGTAGAGTAATTGGGCTTGAAATTCAAACATCAAAGGTTCAATAATCATTGTACATTATCATGAGAAGTATTAAGTCCACATTATACTCTAATAATCAAGAAATCATAAGTCCAAACGAGTGGGGGAAAGGGAGAGAGTGCCGATGGCGATGGGATGATTTGATGATGCTTCGGGTGTCGTTTTGCCATCATCATCACCGCTTTAGGTCAGTCAGCCTTCCGACTAGTAAGTTAAGTAAGTAACAACAGCAAGTTGTCGCAGCAGCCAACACGACCTGCTCGCTATTAATTTAGGCCACGGCTCCCCCCTCAGTCTCTCTCCCACTTTTGCGCGAAAACTCCCCTTTTACCCTTCCTATCAAGAGCAAGGCCGAGATCATGTTATCTGAGCACGCCCGTCATTATATTATTATTTCGCCCTTACGACCCCGATCTGCCCCCTCCGTCAATTATTGTTCTTCCTTCCCTGGCAGTCAGTCAAGTCCCTCGCCCGCTGCCTCTCGACCCCCTCAGCGCCCTCCCTCCCTCCCTCTCTCTCCCTCTCCCTCTCCCTCCAGCGTAATGCTCAATACCTGAATACCACCCATCTTTTCCTCCCCCCACTGGACGGGTAAAATGGGGTAATTTTTCATGAGGCTAGCAAGCCATGGAGGATCCCCAACTAACTAACCAGATGCCCAGCATCTTTCGGGTTGTCGATTTTGATTTTGGATTCGGATTTCAATTTTCCTTTCCAAAATCATCAGTCCTGCTCACAGACCATTTCCTTCTCTTCCTTTCCCCTTCCAGCCCTCTCTCCCCTTTTCCCCATTAACCTGCCGGAACAACCCTTCACGGAGGACGATACCTCATAAATCTCTGGGGGACCCCGGTAACTCTGTCACATACCTCTCTCTCATTACTTTCTCCTCATCTCTCCCCAACCCACCAGATCCTCCGGGTATGATATCCTCGGATATTACATCCCCCCCAGGGCTTGTGACGATGACTTGGGCTTGCTCTCGTTTCACTATTTGACTTGACGACTTTTCCATTCATCTGGAACTACAGCTCCTTCACCGGACACTTTAATTCGACGTGGCTTTACTGTGAAGCATGCAGCCGCTCGTCGGTGTTGCCGCCTGGAGTCAGGTACAATAAGCGACCAAAGATAACCACTTGATTTTGCTCATCACTTGACATTGCTCTGATGCTAACTAATTTACCCGTGACTAACCATATCTCTTTGCTTTGCTTTACTTTTCTTCTTTCTTTTCTTTTCTTTTCTTTTCTATATTTATCTGGATGTCACCAGTCTGTTTCTTTACTTCGTCTGCATTGTTTCCTGACCGCTAGGACGGCTAGACAACGCATGCATGCGTTGTAAGGCGGCTTCACTGACCTACGACAGGCGAGACTTTGGCCCGAAACTGCTTCTAAAAGATCCACAGCCAAGTGAAGTCTGGTTTTTCCCTCCCCTTGATTTTGTTTTCGTCGGTCCTTTCTTTTTTCTTTTTTCCTTCTTTTTCGTCTCCCACCCCATCCTTCGCAATGCTGGCACTGGGTAAGGGTATTGGGGGTTTGAAACTCCATTTGCCTCTCGAGGATGTCTGGGATGTCCCTGGACGGAGAGTGACTCTGCCTCTCCTTCTGATGACTGTCAGACTGGTATTTCCACCCGCTATGCCCGAAATGGGACTTGGCATGATGTCTACCCCGATTGGGGGCTGAGAGGCACTGCTCCTGCCGGAACCAGATAAGTGAGATTCCCCACCCGAGGTTCCCCCCAGGCAGCAGTTCCAGTGATGCCTGAGCCCTCAGGTGTTCACCATGCGTGCCAGACAGCCTAGTCCAGGGTTGTTGCCAGGTAAGAAAAGAGGAAGACTGAAGGTACTTTGCGTTCAGGACTAGCTGAGGTCGGCCAGGAGTGCCTCAGGACTGCTGTGGTTCCCTCTTCCCCCCCTTCTTGAAGCTCAGCCTGGGTTTGGCGTGGGTTCGTTTCCGGCCGGCCTCGCAATCTTGCCTTTTTCCCTTTGGTTCCCCATGGTCCCCCCCCCCCCTCCCTTTCGTCCCCTCGAGCTTCCAATTCGTTCCTCGACCGGCCTGTCCGTCGTCGGTTCTGTCCCTTTCGCTCTTCCACGATTCCCCCCCCTCATTCTTCAATTCTGCCGTGTGGATTATTAACCTTCCCCAACGGGGGCTACAAGGGTGAAACCACCCCCCAAAAAGAACAAGATAAAAAAGAAAAGGGTCGAAAAATATAGGCAAGGGCAGTTTAGGTGCAAACCACCTCGAAGCTGTTCCCTAA